ACGAAATAAGCATGACAATAATTTGTATAAACGAATACACATACATATTATTTTTTTTTTATAAAATACAATGGCTACTAAGTATACTTTTAGTAAAAATGGAGGCTAAAAAATAGTTTACAGTAAAGCTAAGCTTTGCTTTAATTAAAAATTATTTCAAGTACTTACTCATAATTTATAACATCAAGCATCAAAGCTACCTATTTAATTGTACCTACAGCGTATTTACACGGTAAGAGTCCGAACAAACCTATACATACCTATATGTATATGTAGGTATAATTAAGTGTTTATTACCTACACGATACAAAAAGATACCCATTTAAGACAAGACAAACATAATCTCTAAAAACAGTATCAAAATACATATAATGATTAGCATGAATTCCATGTGGTAAGACTATGGACTACGAATAGGGTTGCCAGGTCGTTAGGCCTTATAGCCGGACAGACCAGCCCGTTTAGCCGGATATTTAGCTAAAAAGGCCGGACACACTACATACTTAAGGATTTTTTATCTCAGTATTAATAGGTACGACAAGATTTAATGTAAATCAAGCATTTTGATTATTGTCATAAAGTCATAAATCTTGTTGAATTCTTATGAAATAATTAATAAGTCTAAGTCTTTGCTTCACTCCAGCCATGTTTGGTGTTTCGTTTGCGATTGTGAAAAGTGTAGGTAAAAAGCCTAACAAAAGCCGGACAGGCCGGACACCGTTTATTTTGGCCGGACTAGCAATCAAAAAGCCTACCTATGTCCGGCTTTATCCGGACGCCTGGCAACGCTAACTACGAATATGTTACTCATCTCAGTTTACCTAAGTATTTATTTTATCGACGGCATTACAACGCGTCTGTCAAGTCATTGTGAATTCGTGATGACACTTTAGGTAATAGTGTAGGTGTATCTATTTGTAATTTTTATGAAACTCATAGAATTTAAGTGTTTAATCAAATAAACTATGCGTGGTATTTGACGGCTGGTCCGCACTCGAAACTGACTATCAGCGATTATTTGTCTTATGCGGCTACGCTTTTCATTTGGAAAATAGGTTAGGTCGGAAGTAAGGTCATCATTATTTATTAATTTTCTAGTTTATCTTATAGTGGAATAGTTTTCTACGATATGACGTACATACCTATGTCAGCAGGTACTTAAGATACAACCATGACCTGTGAGCGAAAAATTTTGTGAATAAATTAAAATAAATATTCGAGAATATTGTTTTACTAATACATAATAAACCTATACATTATTTGTTTTATTAATTAATTGTATTATGAATAAGCGAATGTACTCCTAGAATTTTGATTGCGTTTTCCCTTAAGAATAAAAATGAATGAGTATAAGTTATAAAGTACCTACCGGTTCTTTCAATCATAGTTTAATTGTAACGCAAATGCAATTTCCTGTACCTACTGCAATCTAAAGAGTTCAGGAAAATGATTGAAAAAACAAAGACTTTTTGTACTTGGGACAACTGCTGGATCGTAAACAATGAGATGTGTCAGTGGCATTATAGGTTAATTCCCTTGCATCATCACAAGGGTATCTACCTATATAAGCTGTGGCAGTGAAAAGTACCGTGTTAGTCTCGTAGTAACGATGGCATGATGCGTTCTTTCTCCGGCTCATAATGATATTACCTGGTCCTTTTTAATTTTTAAATCTTGCTTAAAATATATCTACGGTTGTTCTAATAATATGTTAGGTTATTTATATGTACTTATGTGTTTTTATGGAGTAGGTCGGGGGAGCAGACCAGTCAGCTGGTGGTAGGTAAGTAATTGGCGCCGCGTATTTGTTAGAAGTTATATGTAAGTGTGTGTCGTGAAGAGATTTAAAGATAGTGGATTTGGGGATTAGGGATAAAGTGTGTAAGTTTGTAATAAATAATTTGCTTAGTAAATATGATCTCACAAAAATGTACGTGCTATCAATAATTAACTAGTCCTCATATTGAACAAGTTAAGTTTCTTTAACTGTAACCCAAATTCCTGCGATAAATAAGTAACGTGTAGGTAATTCACATAGCGCGTAGTTTGAAGCGTGGGGCTTTGAAGCTATTTACCTACTTCTATTATGATATCCATACAGTTCCATGTGCTATATTTTATTATTATGCAATTTAATACGTGTAAATAATGATATTCGCAAGAAACATTCACTGTGCAGTGATACCTATTATTGTCCACCCTATTCCAACCCCACGAGAACAAAAGTAGCTTAGAGAAATTAGGAAACAGCGCCATCTTACAGATATTTCCCACATTAATTTCATGACTGGTTTCATTACGCCTGTTTCGTTTAATAGTATTTTTATTAGGTTTACTTTGCTTGAGCCAATAAACCAGACTATATACTAGCTATTAGCACACTATATATTAGCACTGCAACCGTTAAATTATTACTACAGTTTTCTTCGAGTGTCTTCTGAAAAATGAAGTTTTTTTTAAATAAGTAGTATACTTAATGACTTCTCCAGCCCCTCTAGAAGTAAGAGGGAGTGTTATGCTTTGACTGACTAAAAACCTGTTCCTTCTTCTGCTCCAAGCCGGGACCGTATCTGTATTCTAAATAAAACTAACTTTTGAAACCGAAAGCAAAAGTAGTAATTTTTAAATTCTGTATTTATATTAACTAGTTATTATAATATCGGATCTCTAATACTACATGGCAAAATTTGAATAGATTAAATTAATCACTTCGAACAAATCGTTCATTGAAAGTGAAGAAAGCCATTGGCTTATATTTAACTTACCACCAGATTTAGTAGGTACCTAAAGAAAAACATACAAAAATAATAAACGATCACCAAAATTTGGAGCGCAATTTTAATGTAAAATTGTAGGTTTTCCCATCTTCCTCCGTCCTCTTCCTTTTTAAGGAAAATTATTAAAAAAAAATTGTAATAATTGTGACGTTCGGCGGACGCTACCGACCGCGTCACGTTCGCTTCGCTTGCTCGCCTCACATTTCTAACTTCTTCACCTATATTAACTTATCTAGTAGTAGGTATGCCTCAAATACTTAAAAGTATTTTTACATATAAGTACTAATTTAAAAATCAATGTACAAATAATAAATAAGCTCACACATTACATTAACCCCTAAAAATTATAATCTGCATACCTACTGGTTTATTTCATTTTTCATTTTTCATATACCTAAATACTTTTAAACATTGTACATAATAAAAAACAAAGTACCTAGGTACTTAATAATTATTAATGGATTAATAATTATGAACATATTAAGAGAAATCCCACCAAATTATTAAACTTTCAATTAACGATTACCTACATTTTAGTATTTTTCTAACAATAAAAAATTCTACCCATTCAAAACCTCAAACTTCAAAAAGTCGGCAACGCACTTATAGCCTGCGTAATAATATATTTACCTATACTGACACATTATTTTGTGGCCACCGGCTGCAAAGAGTATACCTATTATGTTGAACATTATGTTCGGCTGATTGTGTGTGCCATAAACGACGCTTAGATGATTATTAGATGCAGTGTTGCCAGAGGCCGATAGTCAAAAGTTACACGAGACTGATCAAAAAGTAACATTTTGTCAGAAAAAGTAACATTGGCTTTTTTTTTTGTGGAAACTGACAAAATACGTAAATAATAGTATGTAATGTAAATAATAATAATGGTATGAAAGATGGAAAAATACACACGAGTGAATGAATAAGTAGATTTAAGATTTGACAAACAATCGTATTGGTTGGTCAGTCCAGTCTGTCCAACAACGCCATGTAGTTTTCTATCAAGCGTGCCAACATGACTTAAAATTATATTTATAAGTGCGTTCCGATAGGTACACGATTTTGTTCGAAATACTGAAAAGTAACATAAAAGTAACATTGAGTGTGGTGTAACATGGAAGTAACATTGGAGGGCCAAAAGTAACGTAAAATGTTACAAAAGTAACATTCTGGCAACGCTGATTAGATGGACTAGCTACCGCTCGGCTCTTACAAATCGTAGGATGATGTTATATAGCCTATAATAATAGCACTCAGGAACATTGAAGCTATCTATCAGTGAAAGAATTTTGGAAATCCGACCAGAGGTTCCAAAGATTACCCCTACATACAAACTTACAAATATAAAAACTTACAAATTTTACCTATAATATTAGTAATTTAGTATAGATTATTTAAATATTCGCGGTAAACGATAGCGTCTCAAAAGTTTTGATTGTCTATGATATCTATAATATTAGTTAGTTTCTTATTGGTTCTTATGTTTATTTATCTTTTCCCACAATTTTGCGGCCAATAAATATGAAATATTTTTTAGACAGTTTAACATTTTTTAGAATAATAATTAAAATGTAATATTGTAGTAGCATTGTAGTTGAAAAAATCTAACCTATTAAGTGGTTTTGACATGGCGGGAAAAATATTATCCACATGTAAAGCAGATTTGCCTGTATCAAGCAGGCTTGGCAAATAGTGTTATTTCTTTTTTCAATAAAACGGTCGGCAACTAAATTATCTAGCATTTGTTATTTGTAGGAGAAACTTTATTCACTCTTTCTAAATTAAAATAGGTACCTTAGTTGCCCACAAGGAAAAAAGTGTTCCACAGATATTTTTTTTATGTGTGTATCAAATAGAACATGAGGTGACGCATGTTATCTCAGCAGTTTCACCATGAATAAATGACAAGATATCAAAAATATATGAGAAAATACTTTAGTTTTTGCTGGTATGTTTATACAAGTTAATATGATTGTATCAATGTTGTTGTTTAATAAACGAAAAAAAAACATATACCTGAATCAGAGATATAGAGAGATAGATAGAAATTCAGCACAAAAATGTTTAAACTTATACTATGAAACCTGGAACGCTATAATTTTCTGTAAAATTTTAGTTATTGCAACAATGGGTTAACCTTCAAATACTTCAATTGGCTTAAAAGACTTGTATCCAGGCCATAAACTCCAAAAAAAAACAAATACTTCAATCGAATTGTTTCAAATTGTCTATGGGTTAGTTACATTTTCCGTGTGGTGCCCGATTTATCAATATTTTTCCTATATTTTGTTTTCGGAATATAGGCGGGAACCTGTTGTCTTCAATAAAACTCAGTAACAATGAGTGTCGAAGAGGATATAATGAAAATACAAAAGAAATTGACAAAGATGATTTCAGCGGATGGCACGGTAGGTCTATTATTATAGGAATGGAATTATCGGAACTAAATGCATTTTCAGTCTAGAAATAATCTAGAAATAACTGCCACAAATGTGATTAAACGCTACTGATTAACAAAATACGTGTTATCTTAATGATTTGTAATAGATTTTCGGAAATAATTGTTTTATTTACAGCAGCAGATATGTATTGCATGCTCGTAGTTCAAATGGAACTATTGCTAGATTAAACTTAAATCTCTGTCTTTTGTTTTAGGGTCAGGAAGAAGCCTTAGACCTGCTGAAATCGTTACAGACCATGGCTATTAATTTGGACGTGTTGACTAAAACCAGAATAGGTATGACCGTCAATAATCTTCGTAAATCCAGTAAGGATGAAGAAGTAATATCTCTTTGCAAAACCTTGATTAAAAATTGGAAGAAATTCTTATCGACACCAGGCACCCCAGGCAAAGATAATGGCAGCTCCTCAAAATCTAAAAAAGAAGGCAAGGATAAAGATAAAAAAGATGATAAGGAAAAAGACAAGAAGTTGCCCGCTTCTTTCCCCCCACAAACAAATACAACTGATGCTGTAAGGCTGAAGTGTAGGGAACTTCTCACACAAGCTCTTAAAGTTGATGGTGAAAACCCAAGTTCCTGTGGGAGCCCTGAGGAACTGGCTGAAGAATTAGAGGAATGCATTTATGCTGAGTTTAAGAATACTGACATGAGATATAAGAACAGAGTAAGATCAAGAGTGGCCAATCTGAAAGATCCTAAGAATCCAACATTACGTACAAACTTTCTTAATGGTGTGATCTCTGCTTCCCGCCTCGCGAAGATGGCTCCCGAAGAAATGGCCAGTGATGAAATGAAGAAACTGAGGGAGAAGTTTGTTAAGGAAGCTATTGATGATGCACAGTTGGCCACAGTACAAGGTACAAAAACTGAGATGCTTAAGTGTGGCAAATGCAAAAAGAAGAACTGCACATACAACCAGTTGCAGACGAGAAGTTCTGATGAACCTATGACTACTTTTGTACTTTGTAATGAATGCGGCAATCGCTGGAAATTCTGTTAAGACTGCTTTTAACCATCCTAAGGTGACTAGTGTACCCTACATTATGAGATACTGTGTTGTATCAAGTATAATATTACATTTACGATGAATTATGGTTTCTGTTTTTTGCTATTTTAACAACACCTTACTACTGTCATTGACTTTGAAATCATGTTTAGTAGATAAGGTGATCTTAGTTTAAAACTTAATTAAATAAAAGAATCTGCTTTAAGTGAACTTAGCATTTAATTTCACCATGATCTCCATTTTTATTAAGAAGATAAGGAAAGTTCTAATTAAACTAATTCTTATTGAATAATCATATATATTTATAAAACATTTTGCACAACAGGAATGTGTCCTTTAGGACATACCTAAAGTATATAAAACTGGCACTAATATAAACTATGATTACACATTATCATAATTGTAATATAAATTACTATTCAGTGTTTCAAATTAGCTTTCTATTCATGCATAGAAATATTGAATTTTCTCAATCAATATCTTTTATTGTATTTTAGAATCATATTGGATACAAAGATATAAAAACAAAATATCGCAATTGATCTGAAATCGCAATTTTGATAACGAATTTCTTTCATAAATAAAAACATTAGTTGAGGTTCATAACATTTCTATAAATGTCACAATCGCTTTGTTGGTAACAATAAAAAATTCTAAAATAATGTTTGTTAATACAATTTAAAGCACTTAGCAACTCTGATACAAGTTTGATTTACTTTTAATTTAAGGAATATAATTTTGTTATTTATGGTTCCAACGATTACCCAAAATGGCCAGAATCGATACATTCTAATATGGCAAGCTATGCTTTGGTGAACATCAACATTTTTCATTTGGCTTAGGCTAAAACTATACATTGTTGTAAACAATTTCTAATCTAGTTTAAATTATAATTTAATCACTTATCAGACGTAACGATAAAACTTATTCCACTAGTAACTCACCAGTTTTAATTTTTACAAATATCTTTTCATCATTGTCTACAAAACTTTTGTTTTGTATGTCTAATTTGAGATCAACTGCTTTACTATCGTCATCCAACTTGGTGATAGTAAAAGAAACTTCTTCATTAGCCACAAAACATTCGGGAATTAGAGTTTTATGGTAATTGAAGTGTGTCTTCAGATGTTCACGAAGAAAATGTGATTGCACAACCGCTAGATCGCAATGAGGACATTTGTGACCTCCCGCATTTAAAACATCAGAGTCATCATGTCGTCTATAATGGTTATTTAAAGAATCTTGTCGCTGATTAGCGTACGGACATAATATGCACATGTGCATTTTGCGCTCTTTGGTCGGCGACGTATCAGATGTATTTAAATCTTTACCAGAAATATTCATAGACCGTCTTCGTTGCAGTAATCTTAACGTTTGCTGGTCACTAATTGAGAACTGTTGGAAGTCGCTCTTTGGAGCGCCCCTCGGCATAGTTTTTATAGCAAGTTTGATATTATCACTGCTATCTTCTTGCTTAACATCTTCTTGATTTTCAGATTCCATAAACGTGTCGTTACCTTTCTTTCTCTCAGCTTGAGCCTCATCGTTCATTTGGTGTTTTCGCATATGTTGAACGTAATTAGCATAATATTTGACTGAATAATCGCATAACTCACATTTATACCTTTGTTTGGAGCCGTGCAATGATAAATGGATCTTATATTGCTCTCTTTTTTCAAAAGCAGAAGGGCATTTGTGGCATTTATACCGCTTCTCTTTTTGGCGTCCATTTTTAAGGTACGTTGGATAGATGAATTCAGGATTACCATGCATTAAATAACCAAATTGGGGATCTGCCTGTAGGACAGGTGGAAAATGATCATTAGGCTTTACTAATTTATCTTTATCTGTTAAAACTCTCTTTTGTGCCTCAGTCTTTCTCTGGAACAAATCAGTGCCAGACAAAGGAATGTTTTTATAATCCATGTCTTCACCAGATTCATAATCACAACTTGCCTTATTTTCGTTTTCGTGAAGTAATTCATGTTTAGCTAGATTTCCAATGTTCTTTACGGCATAGTTACATTTTTTACATTTGTATTCTCCTTCTCCTCCATGGAGCCCCATGTGATATGTAAGTGCCGAATTCTTGAAAAACTTCGCAGGGCATTGGTTACAACTATATTGTCGTGGCACACTTTTTGACTCACCTAGTTTTTTCGTATGAGTTTCGGCAGTTTCCAGTTTACAGGGACCGGTGGCAATCCATGTTATTTCTGAGGTTTTAGGGCAGTGAACGAGTTCTAATATGGGTTGGCGGTGTGAAGGATGAGTGTTGTGAATGAATTTAAGCATCTTTGTTTTTGTGTGATATTCATCTGTGTGAACACTAGAATGAGCGGTCAATTCGTCCTCTTCTGTAACTGCGAAATCGCAACTTTTACATTTGTTTGGATGTGATTCATGATGTCCCTTTTTATGAACTTCTATTTCTCCTTCGTCAAGGAATCTGGCGGGACATTTTTGACAAAAGTATATAATTTTAATTTCTCCGTTTTCAGTTGTAGATTCATCTCTAGAACATGATTCGGGGTTTGTTATTTTTTCAAGTTCTATAACTTTTCTTAGCTTCATGATCTGTTCTTCGTCAGGTATGTCATCCTCAACAGGACAATAAATTCTACCATATATTTCTCCGTGCATCTTGGAATGTTCTGACAGTCTAGCGGCATTATCACAGGTATATTTGCATTCCCAGCACTTGTAAATTGTTGTATCATTATTTTCGAATACGACGTAGTGAATTTTTTCATGATTGGGTATTTTACATTTAATTGCATTTACATACGAACAGTATCTGCATTTGTACATTTTATGGAACTCGTTCTTCGCTGAAACCCAAACGTAGGGTATTTCGTCCAGATTGTTGTGGTAGTCTGCTTTTGAGTCTGACTTATTTTGTGATGACGTTGATGCTTCTAGTTCTGCTTCAGATTCCATTCTTTTAGTTGCTATACCGTGAACGCGAAGGTGCTGATGGAGCAGGTGTCGCTTGGATACGCTATAGTTGCATTCTGGACATTTATAAGGTGTATCTGCGGGCAGTCGATGGAACTGTTCATGATACATGAATTGTGACTTGCTGTTGGTTTCGTATGGACACTCAATGCATTTGTGTCGTTTGGTGTGGTTCATTGATGGAGCTGCAGGTGCTTGAGGTTCTGGTGCGGGGGATTTAGCACCCATGGCTTTTGCGATGTAATCTTCTGGGTCGGTAATACCATGAAGAAGTAAATGTTGTATTAATTCAGGTTCGTCCTTTACGAAGAATGGGCAGAAGTAGCACTTGAAAATAGAGCTGGCTGAGGGTTGATGCTGTTGTAAATGAGCGATGAGGAGCTTCTTGTCACTCGTCCTGTACGGACACTTGTTGCAGGTGTCAATATTGATCTCGTTGATGTTCATCGGTGGATCAGGTTTTGGTTTGACTGTTGTTATAACTTTTATCACTCCATCATGCTTTAATCGGCAGTGACGCTGAAAACAAAAGATATAAATTAATTTAATTAAATACTTACTCAAATACCTTATTATAAATTCATAGTAACTTTATCTTCGATCTTAAATCAAAAATTATTTGAAATAAATTTTTGTAGAGAAACGTACCTGTATAACATGTTTCCAGTTGGATAATTGGTTACAATGGCCACAACGATACGCCAGGTCAGCTGGGTCAGGAGTATTGTTCTCGAGTTTCTTAGGCACTGGTTTCGGTTCCTCGTGGAAACCGTCTGACCTGGAGTGCTGTCGTACATGCTCCAAGAGAGCTTCTTTTGAGGGATCTCTGAAAACGGAAAAAACATTCGTTAGTAAATATAGCGTCTAAAATTACATTTAACTTTACGACAAAAGTGGAATTTTGAAATGAAATGTAGAAAATATACGTGTATTTTTACATATAACTTACTTGTAGTTGCACTTTTTGCATTTCCATAATGTTTTTTTAGGTTTCTTCACGTCATCGAGAGCTCTATTCTCTAAAAAGTCATTTTTATCTTCAGCATGTTGTGTCTGTAAGTTTAGTGGCTGCATTTCAAATTGTACATTCATGACCTCTGACATATCATTGAATGGTTCGTCTATTTCCATTGAGCTGTCCACTGCAGTATTAGGATCCAAGTAATGAAACTCATTTTCTCCATTTTCATTTAGAACAGGCATTGCTAAGAATTTATTATATTTGCTGTAATTACGTCGGCCAGTCTCATCAGTCATGAGTACCTTAGCTTCATTATGTTCAGGATCCCGGGCGGACTTCAACTTGATGTGCTTGGTTATATCCCATCTCCAATTTGATTTGTATTTGCAGAGGGAGCACTCAAATGGCTTCTTGTTCAAATGCCCCACGATGTGTACGTGGAACCTCGACGCTGTTGTGGAGAAAAATGGACAATGCGGACATTTAAATACTTTCCGTCCAATAGCTTGACTCGGCGACAGATTCATGCTCTCATTATCATCAACAATTTCAGCATCGAAATTCCTTTGTGATTCTGCTGGTAAAGTGCTATCATCGTTGATACTTATGTCTAGAGGCATTTCAAACTTGTTAGGGTTGTTTTGATTAAAATTGTTCCAAACAAAAACGACGTTTTCCATTGGATGTGGCTCACTTTCTTTGTCATGTATTGGAATTATTCCATCATTGCTGTCTTGATTTTTCAATGCGTTTTCATCGTCTATGTTTGCGCTCTTTCCACATGTTTGCATGTGAATGTATAAATCTGCACTCGACTTGCATCTGTGTCTGCAATTCTGGCAGCGAGTTGAACTTAAACTTTTGTGGGATGCGTTTGCATTGATCCGGTTAGCTTGCGGCGCACAATTCTTCTCGTGAACAGAGTGTTCTGACAAGCACTTGCTTTCGAAACCACAGTTTTTGCATATTAGAGATCCTTCTTCCCCGGTCTCTGTTAACAGTCGTTCTTTCAATTTATCGAAAAATGATTCATTTTTCTTTCGCCCTGTGGTTTCTTTGGTTGGTGGGTTTCCTGTTAAAAGTGAATTTTCACTTGAGACGTCATCGATGTCGTTGTGTAGAGATTCTTTTAACTTCTTGTTTGGTGGCTCGCCAGAACATGGTTGTTTTTGATTAGGAGTTGAAGAATTTAGCGGTATGAGTTGTGGTATTGGTCTAGGAACCTTTCTGCTCTGTCTTTGTTTTTCATCTGTACTGTGTGTGGGTGAAAGCTGGCTGTAGCCATCATTTGAATTGTCCTTTTTAGTGATTGCATCATGCGACGCTGTTGCATCGTTTGAATCACTTTTACAACTGACTAGTTCTCTTTCTGCGTATTGTAGCCCCATATCCTGAAATTAAAGATAAAGAAATACATTATTCACTGCTATATATTAATTTATTTTATTTAAAAACGGTTTTCCCTTTTATCATGCAAGCGTCAAATAATACCTATAGCATGCACAGGGATCAAGTTTCGGGACCTGAGGGGTTTAAAACCTCAAACTCAAATGAAATTATTACATTAAATAACAAATATGTTGGACCCCTTCATACAAACAAAATTAGTGATTTACACAACATTTTACTATGCAACAATATTCAGAAAGCAGTACGTGTTACCCATTGTGAAAATTTGGAAAAATATATGACTATGAAACATACATAGATTGTTCGGTAATTAATCTAAATTGACGAAGTCTTTCATAAGTTAACAGTGTGTATAGTTTCTTAAGTAAACCTTAAAGGTGTGTCTGCAACAACTAAATGAATATACCTATATAAATAACAATTTAACGAAAAGCACCGAATAATTTGAACTTTTGGAATAAAAGTCGAAGTATTTATTTATTTGAGAAAATATTTAGTTAGGTACCTAGCTACTGAGAAACTTATTGTTTTATTTAAAAAAAACTAACCATAAAAAACAAGGATTAAAGAAAAATTCAAACTACGTAGTCCATGCTCTATCGAGATTTAAAAAATAATTTTACATCTTTCCACAAACTCTGCCGTGAATGTTGTACATAATATAAAATTGAGAAAATATTCTACAAGGGCTACACTAATTAGAAAATTAAGAGAGAGTTAGTTTAGTGAAAATAAGCGAGTAAAGCCGAATAGACTACAGTTTCGTAGTCAGTCTAGTTGAGCTTCTAATAAATTACAGTTGAAAAAAGCACTAACACCAAAACGGCGGGCCGTGAAACAGAATTCGTTATTTCATTTCCCGTAAAAGGGAGACTTAGTGACGTCACGGCAATTACTCGCATACACGAAAAAATGCTTAATCTAGAAATTAACTTAATGTAGTCTGGGTACTAGGAGATAAAAGTGTAGGTATCTTTAAGATAACAATATGCAAATCTCAGTTTTATAAATAACAGCAAATTAAAAATATTTTAGTTAAGTAGGCAAAGTTGTAACTCAGTCTAGTCTAGATATTCGAGTCGAGCATAAGTCAACCGCTATTCAGACTACATAGTTTAGATTTCAGAGGCACAAATGTAAACAGACCTCTCCGGGATAGATTTCTGTAGTGTTTTCGTATAAATAATTAAGTTGAAGTCTCAAAAGTGACTTAAATACGGGACTTTTTTCTCAGTATGTTATTAGATTCAGAAAAAACAGATACATTTTGTTATTTACCAAAACCTCTTAAGCAGAAATTCGCAAAATTGCACGTTACTCGTTTTATACAGAGTCGGAAAAGACAAGATTACATTTAAGTATTAAAAAAAAATCGCGTTTTATTGAGAATGAATAAAAAACAAACACTATGCCTAAACTGATTGGGATTTCGCACTTGGTTGTTGAAATTGGAACCACTCAACTAAACACCAGATGAAATGGAATAGTTTTTACAACTCATCATCATCATCAACATGAGATAGCTTACTGTTGAGAAAAGACTCTTCTCACACGTAGAAGAAATGAGCGTTAATGGCCACGCTTGCACAAAGCGGCCGGCAGGTGGTATTTACTAAGAGACTATATAAAATTATAGGGAAATACCGTATGAACAGTTATACAGTACATAGACTTATGTAAAGCATGTACCTAGATTGAAAGCATCATTGCCCACCCTCTGTTGCCAGTAGACAAGTCTTTTAAACAAGACATATTTATTCGTAGTTTATACCTATTAATTTATTATCTGTGGAGAATAAACTAATTGGTGTTATGATCGCAACAAAGATTGAACACACTGAAATCGATTAGTCTATTACTTAGTAAATAAATTATGGAATAAAAATATAATTGGATTTAGTATTAGTGACATAATTCGTGTCAAGTTAACACTTTAAGTGTACTTAGTAAGGGATGTAAGTATCACTTGGCTATCCCGCGTAAAAAACGTTTATCGTTTTTAGGACAGTGAAGGAAGAACAGAATGATCGTATTTTTTTTCGCAGAGAAACAAAGCTTAATGTCAATGTCTTAAGCGTAATGTTACATTGTCTTTTGCTGCAAATGATCTCTTTTTAATGATTTGAACTTTACAATATGAGTTTGAATGTCATTGATTTCAGACAAAAATTAGTGGAATTTTATGTTAAGAATAGCGAATAGCAGTAAACAGATATTCAATTAAATGATTATAATTTGTCCTGTAGTCGGAAACGTCTATTGAATTTCCTTACTTTTTTTTATTATCCTACGCGATCATTACTAATCATCAGTCGAATGAAACACGAAAGAACTGCATTCATTTAACATTAAACTTCCTGATAAAAAACTGTCAGTTTTATTTTTATTTGTATTTACTTTGATAAACAGTGTTTTAATAGATTCCTAAACAAAATAGCTATATATAAGCGACACACTTTAGTTGAAAATAATTAGACATTTTGTTTATAACGAGATCGTAAAATTGCTTTAAAAACATCTGATAATTTAGATCCAGGACGTTGAAATATTTTTATCTAATCGTCACCGACAAATCTGTGATATTTATAATGACAAGAAGTTTGGTATTCAGACGTCTAAGGGTGCAGTGGAAAGAACGCGCGGCCTACATTCGGTGTCTGGGTTCGATGCTCGGATCGATTGTACCGAACAGTTAGGAAGCAGCGCTGTGGTAAGCAGAACTGCGGTTATTGACGCTTCCTTATTAGTTGTCGAAATGATAGTGTTGTTTTAAAACATTATATGAACAACTGTGACTCCTAGGACCCGTTTATATAACTTTATATATTTCCTACGTAAGTACGATAACCGTCTGAATGTTTACAGTTTTGAGTTGAGTATTATTTGTAAACAACTTGTTTATCTATCTGTTTATAAACGCGTTCTTATGGTTAAAGTTTTGCTATTGTAATTACTTTTAGTTACGAGATAGATTGGTGCTGTGGTTGTGGGAATGGCTAGACATTACATTGGCAAGCGTGCAAAACAAATGCAAGCGTGAACGAGACATGCAAAATGTAAACATGATGGAAAAGGTTGCGAGAAGCGATATAATGTCGAGTGCAATCCATGTGCGGTGGCGCTCATGATAAGAGTGACAACGGTGTGACGTCACCGGCGGTACCAGCGAGGCGGCGGCGGCGGCAGCGGCCGGGCGCGGCCCCTCGCCACGCACACAACACACATACACGACGGCGACTCACCGAGACCGAGTGTGAGGACCGTGAGTCGCCGCTCCCTTCTTCCTCCTTGGGGAGCAACGCGCTCGCTGCGTCGAGCTCCGCGGTAACCGTGTCGCTGGCGCCCACCCGGTTGCGGCGGCGACTGAACAGCGATTGGCCCGCTCCCGCTGCCGGTGTGTGATGATTCATTTCGTGCACCGTCAGACTCTGCTTGATGTCCGCCGTGAAGTTGCACATTGAACAATTGAAATTCCCAGTCCCACCGTGGTTCTTCATGTGACGGTCCAAATTCCACTTGTATGGTGTTCGAAAATCGCATATTGTACACTTTATCATAGGCATTGAATGGTACTTGACGTGTTTTGTGAATCTAGCCTTTATGCTGGTGAAATAGTTGCACTTATCGCATGAGAAATAATTATGTTTATTAGGTTTTATTTCATCAGAGGGCGCTGTTTGATCAACATTTCTGTTGCTGTCGATGTCGTTATCGTCCATGGAGTCTTCATCTACTTCCATCATCATATCCTCGCAGTCCTCGACTTCTTCCAGTAAGTCTTCAATGCGTTCTGCTTGCTCCACGTTCTCGTTAGAGGGCGGTGATAACGCAACATCACCTTTGGTAGTGGTTGTGGAAGACGTCTTCTTTGATACTCCATGAATCATTTTGACGTGCCTTACCAGCTTCTGATGATGTCTCGAAGCATAAACACAATACGGACAATCGTAAATCTTGAGTCTAACAAAGTGAGCGTCTCGCGTGTGTACGAGATAAGCGCGCGGGTTCTGCGTAAAGAACGTGCACTTCGTGCAGTTATAATTCCTCCTTATCTTGCACTGTGGTAACTCAAAATCATCTGCAGCGTCCGAGGAGGCCTCCGAAGACACGTCGCCACAGACGCGGCCTTCAAGGTGGCGCACGACAGTCGCGACCTCGCCGGCTTGTGCGCTCGGCGGCGAGGACATCTGCTGTAGCATACTCCGCTGCAACAGAACAATGTTCGTTGTCGGTTAAACGTGCCGGGAGGGCGCGCGGGCGCGGCGTGGGGCGGCGAGGGGTGTCGGGTGTCGCGCGGCGCGCTGCAGCGGACACGTGTGCGGTGCGCGAGAGCGTCGCCGGCTGAATGAGGCGCCGCGGCCGCCGCGGCCGGCTCTCAGGCAAGCAGCCGACAAGCGCGGTGTGGCGGCTGGCGGCCGGGCCGGAGGGCGCGTGGGCGCGGGCCGGGGCGCCGGGCGGAGGGTCGCCCGATGTCGTGTTCCTATGTTTTTCGACGATGGCAAGGGGAGCCGCCGCGTCGGCCGACCTCCATTCGGCAACGGTCTAATGAGAGCTTGTGCTCTTGGATGTTGTCGACAACATTTTTGTATTAGGTTGCGGTGTATGCGACATCATCATTATACGGAGTGCGACCGCGGCCGCGCGAACTTTGTAATCACGTAATAAGGGCAACGCTTCAAAAGGGAAGACTAATGATGAAGCATAGGTAAGCAGATTTACAAAGGCCAACAGAGCTAGTACTTGAATGCGGGGTGAATAAGAAGTACCTGCCTACTACGAGTGTTAGTAAAGGCCTCTACGAACCTAATACCTTTAGTAAGTAAGTAAATGAGCAGAAATTGTTAACAGCTTGTTGTTGTCAAAACCAATTAAGGGCGAAAGAGGTGATTTAAATAAATCGTAAGCGTTGATGTCTTTTATAAAGATACGTAACTTTTTATTGTTGAAAAATGAACCGTTCAAGTTCAAGTTAATCGTTTCGACACTTACTTAATGTAAATTAAACGCACATTAGATAAATGTTATGGTTGTAAACATAATTGACGATTATATCGTGGTGAGCTTGAAAAAATACAGTAAGTACGCAGTAGATAATTGAGTTCATTAAAAATAATGAATAAAATGTGTAGAGGTGTGAAAATTGCGTAACTGTTTAGGTACAAGTGTATATTAGTAACTTCTTTTTACTACAATAACGCAGGTGAAGATTTGAAGCACTTAAATAACCATTTGTTTGATATCAAATGTTGCCCAAAACCTGCTTCGCCTGCTTATTAGGGATGAAAGTAAGGGACAGCTTTTATCAGCCGCGACAAACACCATACAAACAGACCATAACCCTTCCTTTTGACTTACCATGGTCTGCTGAGGCCGGATAAAAATGCGACGCATCCCCGAAACACAATTATAAACCTTATCCCACGAGCGTACAGTCAAAACTACGTTGATTCTATCTTTATACATATATCTACATTGCTGTACGTACAGGAGAATACCAACAGCTGTAGCATCTGAGTAGAGATGTTTTGTTGTAATTTTGATCTTACGTGCAGGTGTTTAAGGTTGAGATTTAAGGAGATGTTTTTATTGTCAAAATTTGTGACAAGGTATCGTGCCTATGATCATTTCAATGATGTATTTATAATATAGCGTATTTGTATGAGAAATGAGTCGTGATCGCGGGTAGATTTATTGTTTGCGTTTAGGGTTCCCCGTGAAGAATCATTGATAAACTATTCTTAAAGACATAAATATCTATTTATTTAACAAATTCCAAATTTAAAACGATGTTTACAGAAATGCAGGGTTAATTGCGATACTGTTCGCTTCTAATGGGGTCGTTAAATAACGCGTTTCAATTTCAATAGATAATTGCAATTAGGGTTTTGTTTAAATACATATAATCATTTTGTATTTGTTGACTTACTGATTTTAATGATTATACGAAAATAACATCGTGTTTAATACCAATTTAACACTAAATAAATATATGTAATACAAATGAGATAGTGTTTGTATCTATTTGTGTTTTGTAATGAAATAATTTCTGGTAGATATCAAACATTGTGCGGCCACTTCGATGATTTGAAATAATTTTGCGGTTCATTTGTCAATACCCATTTGAGAGATGGAGACTTACACTAATCCATTAATTAATTAAATCATTATAACAATAGGTAAATGTAATTCCTTTCACTGTAATTGTGAAAGGAAAAGTAAATCCCACGTGGAAAGTCAATAGTAAGTTCTGTATTCAAGTTTCCTTAAATAAATGTTATTTTGTTCGTATTGATTTTAAATATGTACTTATAACAAAATTGGCAGAGTTTATTATCAAAATTGACAGTAAGATGTAAAATAAAAATAATAAAGATGGGCGGTGCGGAACCCCGACCGTCGAAAAAGAAATGCTACGTCGCTGCGATCGTTCAAAAAATAATAAATTACTCGGGAGACAAAAAGCGATGCTAATTGTTGACTGCTTTAACCGAAACTATTAATGAAATTAAGTTAATACTTCGCTTCTATTAGCGCTCGACACTGGTGGAACTAGAACAGTAACTCATCGCGTTTAGCTTGTGTTATAGCAGCGATGGCATGTTGTATACCTACTGCAGCGCTCAATATGGATGGACAACTAGGTATACAATATCTACGGATGTTCTCTTCGACTTAGTACCTACTTCGTGTTAACCAACACTAGCTAAGGTAGCGCTACATTGTATTGTGGTTTATTTATAACTAATAAACAGGCTAGCGTGGCCGATGACTAACTTGCGCAGTGAAAATGTGGCCGATACCATTGAACTATACGGTAATGAACGCTATCCTGTTGGCTACACATGCAAGGCCGCGCTCGGCGTGTCGTCGAGAGCCTCGAGCAGCTCTCGTGTGTCACAGGCAGGAGTGCTGGTCGACAGGAAGCGCGGGGGGCGCGGGGCAGACCCGTCGCAGACAAGTGACAGGGCCGAGGCAGGAAACGGCCGGAGAAGGCATCCCAGGCCGAGCACAATGGAGGCGGCGCGCCGCAGGGGGAGCCCTCGCAATCGATATGCCGTCGCTAAGGTCCGATGGCCGCTGCGAGCGGTTTGGAGCGCTGCAGAGGCGGATGCCCCCGGCCCGCGCGCCGCACGCCCCGCGCTCACCACACCTGCTGTGTATTTATAGAGCGGCACAGCCGGCGCAGGGATGCAGGGATGTCGACTTTACCACGGCCGTCGACGTCTACCTAACTATGCGATGTAGGCACGCACGCAACGTTCGCACGCACGCCGCGCCCGCTGCCGATGCCGCCCGGGTGACGCCCGACTGTTTATTATTTGTCACAATGAACATAAAAATAGCACCGTCCGTTAAGTACCATGCTGAATACAATGCAGCCAACGGTTCATACGAACACTCATTTACTGATTAACACTGCTTCGACGCGAACTAGGTGGGCGAACTACCTAATTACCTTTCAACACGAATGTTGGGCGTCGAAGATAGTGGTTTGGGCGAATAGATTCGATGAACCTTCCAAGTTACACTTAATTGCCAAACATTGTTACAGAATCAAACTCAAATTATTCACAACACACTTGTTGCGAGCGAACCAAAAAAAGAAGATCAACATGGAGATAAAACGAATGAATATTCAAGTACGTGTCAATATGGGCCAGTTCCCTATAAACGTGTAATATAATAAACGTTATGTTAATACCACCTCGTTCCTTTCACTCTCGTTTGAGTTCGATTCCCGAGACAAGTCATTTAATGTTATCGAGGACGCTTTTCCTTTCGTTGATAGTTCACGAACGGTTTTTTATCTTACACCTTCCAATTATATCGATTGAGTCATTGGGATTGCGTGCCGTAACTCATACTCATTCAATATTAGGTAGGTATATCGGTTACTCCCGTATTCTCAAACTACATTAAACTTTGTACCGCGGTCAGTCGTCTTGAAAGTTTCTTTCAAGGCCAACTGGAGTTGGTAATTGACTGACGTCTGATGATCGGGCCATAGTACCTTTGCAAATCTACGACAAAAAAGTTATGGTTTCGTGGAAAAAGTGACGTTACAATTAATGCATACAATCAGTCCTATCGTCACTTTATCGTAACAAAAGACGGTGCGGTGTGACATCATAATATCAGTTTTTGTTTCATTCATAAAAGATGGAGGATTTCTTAAAAGAGTTCTCAAGTTGGTAAAACATACCATAGACGTCGTTATTTAACTTCGTGACCCCATCCACCCCCGTAATATCATCACAGATAATATAACACTAAAGACTTTGTCAAATAAAAAATAATTTGCCATAATAATACGTCACCATATTTTTACGTGGAAAATCCAAGCAAACATGTGCATCAATACTTATTGCTTTATTTTTAACCTCTGATATTTGGTTAGTATAAAGCCGATACAAAAACTGGTCAGTCGAATAAATCGTCCCAAATAGAATACTAAATGACATTACAGCAAAAAAAGAACTTGATTTAAAAAAAACAACGTTTATAATAAAAACAAAATTAATTTTAAATAGAAAGAACAAATTCAACGTAATAATATTACTATTGATAGAAGAATAACAAAAAAAAACGAAAACAATAAATCTTAACCATAAACAAAACATCAAACATCAAATCACATAAAATCGACTAAGCAACAAATGTAGCACAGATTGAATCGAAAAGAAATTCTTTCTATGCAAAAAATGTTGTTTTGCAAAATACATGAATTGATGACTCAAGGTAACTTGAGCTTTATAGCTGTGGCGTTATTAAGGTTATTATCCTAACAAAGCAATTGACATAAGTCATTGGCTTCGTCGCCTACTGTGCATTCAATGTGCAATAGTAGAATATATTCCCTTACTTGTAGTAGGTACTATCCACGTGTTTTATTTTTTTTTTCTCAAGAAATGACCACGCCTTGGTTTCTATTGTAGTGGGGACCGATATTGTTATTTCAATTTGTGGAACAATAAATGTGGTCGAAATTATTTTTATAATGCTTTGTTTAGCTGACTCGTCTTTAGCACTTTATTTTTGTGTTGTACTTAAAAAACAGTTACACGCCTTCAGTTCTTGCTTCTTCCACACACAGAAATAGACATTTAAGTAACAGTATTAAATCCTTTAAAAATTTGGTTTTAGCCGTTTCAATATAATATGATAAAATAGAATAAAATATGAATGTCCTTTAACATTTTTTTAAAGAGATTACGCCACTAACAATTTGAAAAAATCGGCAAGTGAAAAATAGCAGTAACATTTTATATCTCTCTAATGATGAACTAAGCTTCAGGACGTTTCCGCGGGAGACGGAACTCCAGTAATGTAGATACCAACAAGAGATGTGGCATTAACCAACAAGAATGTTAAACCTATATATATACCTATATTGAACAGTAAGCGTTGTTTTTGTTGTAAAAGGAAGTGATTGTCGAAACTTTACAACATTGTGTTTAAATAAGTACATACATGCTACCTGTATATATGTAGTATATAGAACACGAAACAAAAACTTTTCCAGTAGTACCATTTCAATTTCAAACTAGTTCCCCGCTTGCAGCTACGTTTGAAATGAAATGTACGGTACGCTGTGAGCAAATTCAGGTCATCATCTATGTGGATGCTAAATTTCATCTTAAACCGTTCAGCAATTTCTGTGTAATTGAGTTACAAACACGAGTATCTTAGCGTGGTTAGGACAGTAGAATTATTTTGAAAATGTCTTTAAAAAATTCCTGCTATCAACAAATAACTTTATCTAATGATGTTATTTGAATATAAAGAGAATTTCAAACATTCTGAAGTATTTCAATCTTCCTTTGATCGATATAATGTAAAGACTACGTCTGCCAAAAAGCAAAGAGACCGACGGACAATCGCTGCCACTCTACATACTAGAGCAACGTAATCCTCATGAAATGACAGGCGGATTGCAAAGCCGAGCCGCCTAAATTATCATCATCTGCTTACCCCTACCCACGATGTAAGCGTGACGTATCATGATTTACACGAAGCAGTTTTTCAGCGAAGTGAGTTTTCAGCCGTAGCAACGTAGCACATAGCTACGAACAATTCGTATAATTCAATAAAGGTAAAAGTTTATCTAAAACTGTCTGTTGGTTACACAAATATAGTAAAGAGAGTGGTTAATATTGAACAGTTTTTGATGAAATATTGTTATGAATCTAGCATTAAGTATGATTGGTATGTAAGTCTAGTTTTTATCTGGCGTAAGTGACTGTTCCAGTATGCATCCGATAAATAATAGCCGCGAGTAGTTTTCAGCGGCGTCTGTGCTCTGAATTAGTTCGCTTAGCCACAAGTATATGACCGATACGACATATGTATATACATCTATAGGTACGTACGGTGTGCATGTGTTGGTGCGTCGCTATAACTGTGTGGTGTCTGTCGTCATTTGTTTGCAACGTCTTGTAGGAGGCGAAGTGAGCAGTTGTAAGCATTCCAAGCGTGACTAACCCGAAGTGCCTTCATGTTGAAGCGCTCACCTCGAAGCGGCCTCAGACTGACCACTTCTTGAATTCAAACCCGTTTTTGTCCTTATAGAAACATTGTCAATGTCCCCGAGTCAACCCTTAGAAGACACTTGATACCTGTTTTCGGGTTTTCTATTGCCGTAATTCTATAGGGTGTGGCTCTGAATGTTGGAGTAATGTTTTTGTAACAAGCTCTACATATAGAATATCGGTACTGTACTTAATGAAGTGACGATATTACCATTATGTTCTTGTTGTTATTCGCGATGTTAGTCTTATTATAACTTTTTCCCGTTAACTTAATTTGTCCCTACTCATAGCTGTCACAGATTGACATTGCTTGTAAAAGAGCGCATTATCCTACATTCCCTCCCCGCCCACCAGCAACAACGCTATAATTACGAAGTTAAATCTGTAATTCTGTTGAGGACGCCGCCGTCGTCAGCTAGCAATCAATCGGCACGTGTATGTACCGACCCACCGACAGTATAGTTAGTACATGGAGTGCCTATGTACATACCTACCTACCTCGGTACACAATACCTATTATGAGGTCCGATAAGAATGCGTGCCGCGTGCTTGCCTTAAAGAGTACGCGATGTTAGGCCAATGTTGAATCAGTGATCAGCCATCCATTATTAAACCGAGGCGAGACACAATACGTGCAGCGCAGCAGGAGATGGACTTAAATTATGCGAGTTTATAGCTTCGGGATGGTGCAGCGACGCTGCGGATTTTGCGACGCAAATAATTTGCGCGCCAATTGACCTTTCGTCGGACGTCGTCGACGGAGCAGCGCGGTGGCGGCGGCGGGCGCTGCGGCCCAACACGAGCTATATATAGTTGCGCGACAACACGCCACGCCGACCGAACACCCGCCAGGGGCCGGCTACGTAGGCAGTTTTCCTTTATCACCCGCCCGACAGCCTCAGCCTGGATTTTACCGAGGCTTTGCCAGCGCCGCCTCTACAGACACAGGCGACGGGATGTTGACCCACACCACCCTCCCGAGATCAATACAGATGGTCGCCGCAAGAACACCCTAGTGTGGAAACGTACAACCGTAGACACGGGCCTAAATAGGGTGAGCTTTATAGGGTGCGGCGCTGTAGGTGACGCGGAGCGACTGTTACAGCGCCGCCGGGGTTAATTTTAGCGAAACGCAATCTCAGGAGGATACCTAAATGTACCGAGACAGACCTCTCGGTGGGGTGCTCAACAAAAGTTCATTGCAGACAACTGATCATTGGAAACAATAAATGTGTTGTTCATACGAAGATATATATTAATGCGATGAACCTCGCTAACGAGCATGACTGTCACCGGTCCGACTGGTAATTAACACGGCCTTGAAGCAGGCTGGTAAACGATGCACGGCGCTCGCGTCGCATGTAATGAAAGGATCGCTGCGGTCGGTTGTCGACGGCCATCGGCTTCGTAGCAACAGTGTTCTCGAGTGGATGGAATTCGTACCGAGTGGCGGGTGGCGTGCACTGTGCTCGTTTAGAGATGGCTGCGATAAGGCGCAGTGACGCTCCTCGGGCGCGGGCGTCGTGTCGGCGGCGCGGCTGTGTGCGTGCGGCGTGCCGGTGTGCCGACGCCGTCCCTGGTGTCCCGCCCCGCGCCCCCGCCCCGCTGCACGTTCCGCAACATGTGCGGCTGCCCTGCCTGCCTCCGTCCACTCGCCACCCAACACTCGCAGCCGCTCTCATGTCGCTCCTCCGCTCCTCCCGCGCCGAGGCCCGCTGATAAATGCGCCTTATCAAGCCACCAGATAGCAGAGGTGCTGCTCGCTCGTTTAGGTGTCACGGACGACGCGCTCAGATCGACAGCGAACGACTCGTGCATGAACACAGTCACGGAGACTTGTTTGTGTTACTTAGCGATTTACTCATTATGAGTCAATAGCCACTGT